ACTTCTTCCAAGAAATGGTTGACAAAGTTTTCAGTCTGGTGTTTTTATTTCAACCATCCCTTTCTTTGAAGGATAACTTTGTTTACAGAGGCTTCACAAATCATTTCATTTGTTGTTTCTGTTGTTTTGTTTATTTTGGATATTTAGAACGTCTTCTAGTTCCAGTGTCAATTGTTCATTATGTGGCGGATACAATGTATATATTTCACACCAGAATGTATGCTTTTATTGTGAAGGGGAGAAGGTGAGGTGTGAAGACAACAACGGTTATTATTCATTCCATTTTTCAGTTTTTGGTTGGAAGACATTGAGAATAAAACAAGACTCAAATCACTTTTTCGTCTTTTTCTGCTGACTTCCACAATTACAATTTAAAGTCTATTGATCTTTGAGAATGTGTTCTTGTATTATTATGCCATTACCATTATATTATTTGAAACAAGAATATTATCATTTATCGTAGTAACATCTGGGTTAGGGTTAGGGCTACCCTAAACCTTTAAACAACCCCCCAAAAAAAGAAAAAAATACATAAATATTACTAATCTGTATTATTTAAGTTTCATCCATCCATTTTCTGAACACCCTTGTCCCTCAGTGGGGTCGGGAGGGGTGCTGGTGCCTATCTCCAGCTAAGGTTCCGGGCGAGAGGCGGGGAACATCCGGACAGGTCGCCAGTCTGTAGCAGGGCAACACAGACACACAACCATGCGCACACACACCTAGGGGCAATTTAGACAGACCAATTAACCTAACAGTCATGTTTTTTGGACTGTGGGAGGAAACCGAAGTACCCGGAGAAAACCCACGCATGCACAGGGAGAACATGCAAACTCCATGCAGAAAGACCGGGGCCGGGAATCGAACCCAGAACCTTCTTGCTGCACGGCAACAGCTCTACCAACTGCGCCACTGTGCAGCCGTATTTAAGTTTACATAAATTAATTTAACTCAGACTGCAAAGAAAATACTAAGATAATTATGTAACTAATACAAAGCAAACCACTGTGAATCAACCCACAAAAGGTTGATATCCAGTATCCGTATCCAGCTCTGCACATGTCCGCCACATGAGCAGATCACCTTCCCAAAGGTCCCAAACTCCCATCTTCTTTGTGTTACTCTGATCCTTTCAGAAGCAGCATCATTGTCCGTCCATCTTTATGGTTCGTGTAGTAGTCACTGTTCCGCCATGTTTATTCTGAGTGTCCACTCTTTACAGCCAGTGCATGTCTTTTCTTTATTTCTTGTCCTATTATTCTCCTTTTCACTTTACATCTTTTTCCTTGCTTCTTTCTTTTACTCTTTTTTCTGATTTGATTTCACTCTACTGTATAGCAGCTGGGACAGTGTGACAGAAGCAACTCTGTTATATCATGATATTGGCCCTTCTGACCATCTACAGGCAAGGTAGATGAAGCTTCTTGTACAAGGACGCACCGATTGCAGAATGAACTTCTACCATCATTGCCACCATCGTCCCTGAAAATTGGTGTAGTTAGGTCAGAGTATTTTGCACACTGTGGAACCTTCTCTATCATATAAGTGAAAGCTATTATTTAGCTGAGGATAGTGAGCTTAGCACCACAATCAATTAAAGGTCTGCTGTTGGAGCAGCGTTCCAGACCTCTCAGGTCTTGTGGTTCTGGTTCTGCTATGCACCACTAGAACCAGAACCAAACTTACAACCATCAGATTCATTTCATTCAGTCATTCTTGCTGCCACCCCACTGAGCCACCACCAACCACGCTATGATGGCATGTGATTCTTTTTCTTGTTACTCCTGGTGTACATTTTATTTATTCAGCAATTATCTATCTATATTTTATGGAGAACACAAAGTGCTGACTGTTGCAGCAACCCACGGACATGCCACGGCAAGCACATAACAACACACACACATAGGCAAGCGCTCATAAAATCATAAGGTGTGGAAAATATTCAATTTGGACAGCCTCAACAAATCCCTGAGGTCCTGCTGACGTTTATACACACTTCACAGTATTCCTGGCCACTCACGCACACACACACACACTCACCACTGAGCACCGATAACCAGGCACAAACAATCTAGCACCTTTATGGGTGGAACTGGATGGAGGCAGAGAGATGGCGAGAAGGAAAAGGAGGTGAGAAGATAAAGACAGCAGTGAAGTGGAGTTTGGGAGCTGACGCGAGTTTTCTTCACCATTTGTAACCCCTTCTGCCATATAAATAGAGACCAGTAACAATACAACTGATGGGTAGCTGTAACCCTGCAGATTCATTAGGCTTGTCACTATGGAAACCTGCGATCAGGACCAAAATGCCGGCCATGTCTTTCTACAAGGAATGGGCCCAGGAAAATACCTGAGCTCCTTCAAACACACATCCATATGCAAACACACACATATGCACGGCACTGACCTTTCTCCCACCTCTCCTGTGTTTGAAGGGAACATAAACATCTCAGCGCTTGTTACCTTGTATCCATACCAGTTCTGAGGAAGTGCAGAGCAGAAACAGACACTGGAGTCATAAAAAGAGTCGCAGTTGTGAGCATGTTAAGGAGTATTTCCAGCAATAAAGGATATGGGTGGCAGACAACACGAAGACACCAGGAGCGGGGAGGGCTGGTTTGGGTCAGAGCCAACAGAACCACTGGAGCTAAGGAGGGGTACGGCAGCTCTTCCTTTTCCTTCTCCTCCCCTTTGTTCTCCAACTCTTCTTCCTCCAATGACACCTGTATCTTTTCCCCATCCTCCTCCTCATCCTCTGCCTCCTGCACTGGTCCTTCATGCTGCTCATGCAGGTCTGGCTCCTGGGTGCCCGTCATGGCCACACCGTGAACAGCATGAACCTATAAAAGGGGGCAAATGGGCACCATCAGACTGATCCTCCTCTGCAGGCTTTATTCATCTGTTTTCCTGTCTCCAAACCAAACTCAACTGTCTCTGTGTTTCCTTCACATCCACCCAGCAGCAATCCAGTCCAGGAAACATGAATATACACAGATCTAAACAGAAGTAAACTAAATGATGTGCAAGAGTGCAAACAGGGTCAGAGACGATAGCAAGGAGCACTCATAATAATCCTGTAGTCATCTGTGAAACACCAGGCCATTACTGCTGAGTCTTTTAATCCAGACTAGCTCCAAACAATCTGGACATAAAAAAGATCATGTTTCTGTCAACTTTTTTTTCCTGTAAAAAGAGAACAAAGGCTGGCACTGGGGACTGAAAGTGTTTTTCAAAGCAAAACCAGCATAGCCACATCAACACTGTTGGATGTGAGATTTGGCTCTACGTCACATGCTGTTAACTTCAATCATTTTAGGAAAGTTAGTACCTTAACTTCAATTTAGCATTCCTTGATCGGTCTATATTTAGTTATAAAACACTTATTAGCACTGATTAGTGTTAATTTTTAGATGTTAACTTTGTCACAGGATTTGTTTTTTGTAGCATGGCATGGCAGTAAATCAGTGCTCCATATCCAGTAGTTGCTCCCTGGGGTTGACCTTGAAACCTTTGCTTCATATCTTCCATCCTTCTCTCTCTGCTAACTTCCTGTCTGAGTACTGTCCAAATGATTCCACTAGCACCACAAAAATATTTCAATTGTTAATTCATGTATTCTGTCCTATGTCAAAACTAAAATCAAACGTTCGTTCAAAAAGAAGCCAGGCTTTATTAAAACACAGTAATTTAAAAAACCTGCACCACAATTTTAAAATATGAAACATAGAACGCTGTATGTTCCCACCTTCATTAAAATACTGACACTCAGAGGGCCTGAAACAGGTGAGTAGTTCCTTACAAATTAATGTATATTTGATGCTCTTCCATTGATTACATAGTACACCAAAGTGTTCCTAAAAGTGTAAAGTGTTGGCAAAGCAGCTGTTCATGAAAGCATGGTGGTTGTGTATCATGATGTAGCAATTCAGGCAACCTGAGAAAAACTTCAAGCTAGTATTCAGTACAAACATTTCCCAGCAAATTTGTAATTCTTTGAGTAAAATTCAAATATTGTGTCTTACTGTAAAGAGGGGTTTAGACAGAATTACAATCAGGGAATAAAAAAAATTGCACCATGTTTAATTTATCACTTTTTGTAACCTTAAGGGGTTGGCAAAATCCACAAGAAGAGCTGGGGCTCTTGCTGGAGGGTCAAGTAATACTACCAGGTCCTGTACATCCATAACTGAGCTAGGAGTCACTGAATTTCCTTCAGCTGTTGAGGTGACTGTGGGAGTCAAGAGTTTGGATCTTATGAGTTAATGTTTACTGATACAGATTTGTTTTAAAATCATATTTTATTAACACTCTTGTTTCAACATTATTTGTATGTCAATTAAAAGTATTAGTAATCTGCAATCAATTGCAATTTGCACAAATTTGTCCAGCACCAAAAACAACCATGAATTTGCTGTGTTACAGAATTCACACTGGTTATTACAACCATAAACTTCACTGAACTTTAATGGGATTTTGAGAAACACAAAGCACTTGTAAAGTGCAAGGAAAATCAGACATTGTTTTGAAACATTTACAAATAAAATCTGAAAAAGGGTGGCATGCTTTTGCACTATATACAGCTTCTCTGAGTCAGTACCTTAAACTTCATTTTATTGTAGCTAACGCTGCAAGTCTTCAGGGGTCAAGCTCAACCAGCTGTTTGGATCTAGAAACATTGATATTTAGGTGTTCTTCTTTATGAAACAGTTTGAACTCATTCAGGTTGGGTGAAGAGAGTCTGACTATGAGTTTTCAAGCCCTGCTACAATTTTCACAATTTAAATCAAGCACATGAATATTCTATCCTAAACTATTCCACTGCTGCTCTGGCTAGGTGTTCAGTGTCGCTGTCCTCCTGGAAGGTCAATTTCCAACCCAGTCTCAAATATTTTGTAGTTTCTAATAGTTTTGGATTGCTCTGTTCTTTGACTGATGAAAACACATTGCCACATCATGATGCTGCCACCATCATGATGCTGCCACCATCATGTTTTTATCAGTTCATGTAAAAATGATGATAATAATTTTGCATGGAAGCCAACTTTGGTCTCATGTGGTCAGAGCACATTCCTCTACATGTTTGCTGTCTCTCACATGGCTTTTCTTCAACAGGAATTATTATGGCTTCTTGCTGAGCTCTATAAAGAGCTGATTTGTGGAGTCCATGACTAATAGCTCACCTGTCAGTAGAGCTATGGTTCTGTGGCTCCTCCACAGTCACCATGAAATAGCATTCATCTTCTCTGATGAATGCTATTTTTGCCTGACTAATTATTGGTGCTTTGCAGTTACAAAATACCAAATTTTCAGATAATGGACTGAACAATGCTCCATGAAATGTTAAAGCCTTGGGATATTGCCTCTGTGTATCTTTTTTCCAGGGTTCTATGGTATTTATGATGCTGTTTGAACACTAAAAAATTTTGTTTTTCCTCAAGATTAAATCACATGTGGAAAGTATTTATTGCATTTATTTCACTAAGGGTTATCAGAAATAAAGATCTGAAAACAAATGCAATAAACTTTTCTGATTTTTTTTGTAAGCATGTTTAGGCCTGTCACAATAAGCAATAAATCAATTAGTCACATGATAAATTTAAAAGTTAAATGATTGTTTTTTTCTACCAAGCATTAGTCTTCCGCCACAGTGGGTGTTCCCAACACATTGAAAGCAACAGCGATGATCCCTCATAGGTAATCATCCGTTGCAGATTTCCCAGATTGGAAAAACATTACCAACCAGTAAGCCTGTCTCCAGTTTACTGACACTGGGATGTCTAATCCATAAATAAAATACAAAACGGTCTGCACAAAATAGTGCAGTTTGCTTAATCGCAAAATAAATGCTGTCCTTTAATCTAGTTGAAAAGCCAGCATTTAGAAAAACGCTGTAACATTTGTAGTAAGTTTACACTTTTTTCACTAAAGTCCTAACTGGCAGTTTTGCCTGTTTTCTCTGTCTGAGCCTAATGATTACTTACAGAGTCTTTATAATCCATTTGATTTATTTTGTTTTATTTATTTTGGATACTTCAAATCTTCCAGTTCCATTGTTAAATCTTCTTTAGAAATTTGTTTATTGATCTTTGAGAGGGTGTACTTGCATTCTTATGTTATTAGTTAATAATATTATCACTCATTGCCATAATTTCTGGGACAATTAATTTTTATGCTGGACCTAAACAAGTTTAATTTAGTTCTGTTTCACAAATAGGTAGCACTTTGTCTTCGTCTAACATAAAATCCCCCCAAAATACATTTATGTGAAAGAGTGAAAAAAAAACTGAAAGCTTTTGCATAAATCTGCTCATATGATGAGGACGATGATAATAGTTATTATTTTTCACTGACTGCTAATTTAAGATGAAATGAACTGCATTGACAATGATCAGGTACTCCAGCCGATGGTTAATTTTTAGATGTACTGATGGAGATTCCTTTAAGCACTGAAATAATCCTGGAAATGTCAAACTGAATGACCTGGGAATCATTTACTTTTAACCCTTTCATGCATGAATTATGATCCTTTGTGTCAGGATTTTTTTTCCAATTTTTTATTTTTATTTTCTTAAGGCATAAAGAAAGGTAGGAATTTTCTTTTGTAAAATTCTTTTTTATTTTATTTTCTTTTTTTAGGTGATCTATTGTAATTTTCTCCAAATACAAAGTTGTTATTTGAAAAATACATCAGTAGTATTGTTCTTTAGGGGTTACCTGCTGTCACAATATGTTTTTTTTTACCTTCAAGAGTCGTCTACAGTAGAAGGAGGGACAGGGATGACTGGCATGCTTTTTTGTCTGTCGGCCATATTGGATTTAACAAAAATCATTTCTTGCATTTGCAGCTTATGGCCAGTATTTGATAGT